ACACACACACACACACAGCACACACACACATTCCAGCACACACCCACAACAACACCACTCTCGTCTCTCTCATCACTCGCTCTGTATCTCTCTTCGTCCAATGTTTCTTTCTTTCTCGGGCGATATATAATATATTATGTTAGGAGTTAATATTAGACAAAAATTACATTGTCATTATACTCTCGATATAATACATATATATTATATTATACTATATATATATATATATATAATATCTCGCCTTTTTCCGTTGTTTTTCCCTGCTCACTTCCTTTCCCCTCTCCGCGATGGCTATCGCCCACCGACCAGTCAGCATGGAAAAACTTTCAGGTTAAATGGATCGAATTTCAGCCTAAACTTTTTCAACCCCCCGAGCCACAACATGGTGAATTTACGCCTTATAATACACGCGGCACGCGTGCGTGCAATACCCGATAACTTCGCGTGTGTGCGCCCCCCGGTCCGCCGTCGTGTGGTGATGTGTGCTTGTGTGACTGTCAAACGCGTATTATAGGCCGTACGTAATCATAGTGTCTTTGGTTTTTGGCGGGGTGAAAAAGTTTTACCGGGGCTGAAGAACCGGCCGTTTGCCGTGGCTAACGATTTCACCGTGCAACTGGTGCCGTCGCCCCTGGGCGATACTATCCGCGAGAGGGAAGGGAAATAACTGTGGGCGAAAGGAGTAAGAGAGGAGGAGGTAAGGAAAGAGGGGCAGGAGAAGGAAGAGGCGACGGAGAGGTGAATAATGCAGCAGACGGAGATGTGCACACGCATTGCCGCAGTACACACAGCGCCAGAAACGCACGTACGCGCACACCAACACGTCACGCATTTGACACTTCTTTGTCTCTAATATAGTTACTTCTCTCGCTTTCCCTCTCACCCCTCTCCTTTCTCCGTGAGACTCTCTCTCTCTCTCTCTTTCTTTCTTTGTCCTCTCTCACCACACACAACTACACACACACACACACACACACACACACACACACACACACACCACACACACACGGCGCGGCGCACTCTCTTCTCTCTCTCTCTCGTCTCTCTCTCTCTCTCTTTGTCTCTTTGCGCTGCATCCAATATTTCTCTTCAACGCACGGACCAGGCCGCGAGCCGTCAGCGACCACCACCGCGAGAGCGCGACGCGCACCGAGCACAGTACATAGCACCACCCTCTGCTTCTCTCACCTCTCCCTGTATACTCTCTCTCTCTCTTGTCTCTCTCTCTGCACACACAACCTCTCCTCTCTCTCTCTCTGCACGTACCTCTCTCTCGGTCTTCGCTCTCCTCTACTCACGTCTCTCATCCCTCTCTCGCGTTCCCTCGCTCTTCTCTTTCTCGTCTCTCTCTGCCTGTCTCTTGCTCTCTCGTGCTCTCCTCAGTCGTCTCTCTCTCTCCGTTTCTATCCTCTCACACACCTAGCGCGCGCCGGCTGCGCCCGCCCGACCACCACCGGGCCCCCATCTTCTCTCTCTCTCCCTCGCGCTCGCTCTCTCTCCTCTTTCTCTCTCTCTCTCTCTCATCCATCGTCTCTCTCTCTCTCTTTGTCTCTTTCGCTCCGCCATAATTTCTCTTCACCACGACACGACGGCACGCACGCACCAGCACGCACGCACGGCACGCACGCACGCACACACATACAACACACACTCTCCTCATCTCTCTTTATCTCTTCTCGCAATGTTTCTATCTTTCTCGGGCGCTATATATAATACACATATGTATATATATATATATAATAGTAGTATAATATATATATAATATACATATACATATATGTATATATATATTATATAATATATATATTATATATTAACTCGCCTTTTTCCGTGTTTTTCCGCTTGCCACTCCTTTACTCCCCCCCTTTTGCGGATGGTAATCGCCCGACCGACCAGTCAAGGCATAGGAAAAACATTTGCCAGGTAAATGGACGAATTTCAGTCGAAACTTTTTCCAACCACGAGCACAACATTCCTGTGAATTTACGCCATAATACTTACGCGCACGCGTGCGTGCAAACCGACACGCTGAGATACTCGCGTCTTCTCCGTCCGCCGATGTTCCGTTGCGCTGCCCTGTCCGCGTGTTGTGTATGTGCTCTTGTTGAACGTGACTGTCAAAACGCGTAATTAAATAGCCGTATAATCATATTTTCGTCGTTTGGGGGTGAAACAGTTTTAGGCTGACAACCGGCCAGCATGTTGCCTGACTAACCATTTTCAAACCACCGGTCGCAACTGGTCGGTTCGCCCTGTTGTCGGCGCGATACTATCCGCGAGAAGCGGAGGGAAAATCGTGGGCGTCGTAAGGAGTAAGAGAGAGCGAGAAAAGGAAGAGGAGAGAAAAGAGCAAAGGGGCGGAGAGGGAATACATGGGCAGACGGCGAATGTGCAGCCGATATAAAGCTTTTTTAGCCTCCAACTCTTGGAAGAAACCATTAAGGGCCATATTCTTTGTACCAAATCTTTACAAATGATAACAAATAATATTAAATTTCACCTAAATTAAATATTAAAGTTCACAGAACAGTATTTGCTAAAACTAGTTTGTTTTCCCTCCTTTTAGTCATGGGTGGCATTGGCAGGGATCTAAACTATATGCTGACTATTATCATATTTATTTATTTATTACTCAGTGCGTAGAACACCACCTGTACGTAAAAATTACGGACAAAACAAACTACTTTGGTACATTTATATCGAAGACTTGGAATAGGGTCAGTCAGATAACCAGTAATGTTCGAATATTTGCTTTTTATTTTAGGCCGAAAATGTAAAATTCCAGGATTCCCAGACTTTCAATGACAAAAGGAAAAATTAAGGACTTTCAAAGACAAAGGACAAAATTCAAGGACTTTCAAGGGCTGTGGGGACCTTGTAATAGTTTGCCACAAAAATAACACACCCAACATGCTGCAATAGTTTTACCTAAATGTATATTTCAACAACGCAAATATCAAAATGACACAATGTTTGCAGTTTAAACACCTGTTTTAGCTCAAGTGTGTATGCCCGACTGTACGTTCATTGTACGCTTATTTAATATATGCTATACACTCACAATGTGATAATATATGCAGCCTGGATATCAATCTATGATGTTATAGAAACATCAGTGACAGCTACTACTGATAACCGGCACAGCGAAAGCTGCAGTTTAACGTTGTTTACTCATTAATGCAATGGGAGTAAAAAAAATTACCGACTGTCCATCTATTAGATTAAATAACAAATTTATCTCAAGAGTTTGAACACAGGAGTTAATTTAAGACTATTTTTCGAATGAAACAACTGCTGAGATGGGTACTAGTGGATAGCATCACCAGCACACCGAACGTCACCCTAATGCATTAACATTCTCACGAAACTTTACACCTGACCAGAAAAGCCCTCGCTACCATCACTGGCAAACCGCTCCCCGGCCGACTCCGCGACACAGCGCCACCTGGCGGGTCGGTCGGACGACGCGCGCATGCGTTACTGGATCTTCGTTTGGTTCCTGTAGGACTCGAGGCGAGTGCGAGCACGCTTGTGGTACTCGTCCGTGAACGGGATGTAGAACCAGCCGACGTAGTCACCGCGAGCGTACATGAGCTGCTTCATGCGCTGCTCCTGCTTCCTGTAGAAACACACGCAGAGAACGGACGATCATTAGTGTAGAAACACACGCAGAGAACGGACGATCATTAGTGTAGAAACACA